CTGAATTTGTTCTATTGGCCAGCAGGGGGCAACTCCTCTGATGGAACAAAGAAGTTTGATTGTGCAAAAGTCTATGAGAAAATGACCCTACTTATCAATTTATTTGTGACCTCAGTAAACGATTTCCCAATAAGTTTATGGTCTAAATCTCTAGTCTTATGCCATCCATCCATTATCTATACACCGCTTAATCCTCACTAGGGTCTCGGGGGGCTGGAGTCTATCCCAGCTGGACAGGTCACCAGTCTATCACAGGGCTACACTTAGAGACAGACAACCAAGCACACTCACATTCACACCTACAGACAATTTAGAATCACCAATTAACCTCAACATGTTTTTGGACTGTGTGGGAGGAAGCCGGAGAACCCAGAGAGAACCCACGCTGCACGGGGAGAACATGCAGACTCCACACAGAAAGATCCCGGGTGTCTTCACCGGGATGTGAACCGGCGACCTTCTAACTGTGAGGCAATGATGCTAACCACTGACCCCCTTGCAGCCCCTAAACTAAAACAGGACTTTAAATTATTACATCTCAGATCAAAACACAAGTCTGTCACAAAAATAACAATTAGTGATTTTCCCCAAATCAATCAACAGTACAAACAAAGTAAAATGTTTAACCTGATCATGGTGCTACATGGAACGCTAGAGGACCAGCAAAGTTAGTACAACTCATTAAAGCAGAAAAACGATTCTGCATCAGCCCATTTAACAGCTGCTGAGACATTTTTCTAGAAAACGTCAGCCTCATGGTGGTGCTGTAGGAAAGATCAGAGGATGACCCAAGTTATGAACCTACATTTTCAACAAATAACAATAATTCTGCCAGTAAATCCAGTAAGTGTGAAGATATTTAGCAGCTGGTAGACACTTTGACCTGCTGGTGGCGCTAGAGGAAAGCTCAGGGGGACTGTCAAAGCAGCTTTCATAATCCAGGGACCGTGGATGTGCTGTGAATGCATCCATTTGACATATTTCAGTGCAGATCAAACTGGTGGACAGACTGACTGACCAACACACAGATCCATGTGGCTGACAGGGTGACGGGAAGAAACATGATGACTGATCAACGAGATGCACCTACAGCAACTCAGCTACGTGTCAGGCTGCAGGTTTCTTGAAACATCAATAACAACTCGACCTGTTCCATCAATGCCAATCATCCTGTCGTTGAGCAATTATACTATAAACATTACAAATACTGGAGACACGCCATCAGTGTCAGCTGCCTCTTCAGCTCTGACTCTCTCCTGATGTACACAAATTTGTGAAAGTACACTTGAAGTAACGTAGCACACATACACATACTGTATGCACACACAGGCACATGAAAACCCTCGTTAAAGAAAACAGGATTACTGCACAATCAGGCCAAGAAGCCTTTTCATCTGAGAGCAGCAGAATCAATAAGCAAGGCTTTCTATGGGAGTCAACAAGTTCAGACACGGGCCGAAGACTCGATCACTGTAAGAGCTGTTTTCACAAAACAGCTTCATATTCATGGTGCTTCACAAAGCTGAAGTTTGAGTGGGAGAAAGCTCAAAACGCGCAGATTACAGCATTTATTCAGAGTAAAGTAAGCTTGCTGTGGAGTTTAGAGGAGCCCTCCTGGCACCGCCGCCATGCCTTTTCTCGTTGAGTCATGTGCTGCTCTCTGACTTAGCTTGAGAACCTTTCCAGGGCTTTAGTGTAAACAGACAGAGCAGGCTGGAAGTGGAAAGCAGACAGATCACTTCTACTGCAGCACAGCGTGCTGGCAGAGAAAGCTCGTGGCCTCTGCTCGTGTTGTGTTGTGTAATGATGCAAAACCACTGGAGCGGTGGAGGGTTTTGATTCAGACATTTGCAAAGAGAGAGCTGCATCAGAAACACAGATTGCTGGGACAGAACCGCAAAAAGAAGAAACGGATGTTACCGAATACTTTTCATATTTTTTAAACTATCGTTAAGTTAACTTTTTAAACGTGCGGAAAAACTGCACGAGCACACGTTGGTGAACACGACGTCATCTCGAGCTGACTGTGGTGTGTTCACACTGGCGTCTACAAATTGGTTTAAATATGAAACAAGTTCGTCATTAAACAGAAGTCCAGTCTGCCAGGGATGCTCCTAACGTCTAACTTCAATGTCGATTATAACAAGAATTCAGATTCAGATGAGGCCACTAGTCTAAAAGTACACAAGTATTCTGAAAACAGACAAAACTGAACTATTTAATCGACATTATCATCCATAAAAATATTGTGTGTAGCTATTTAGGAGACATCTGAATCTATTAATCACATTCCTCAATAACCAAATCCTATTTTAGATCAAATGTGTGGCATTTTCTGCCACATGAATGATGCAGATGATCCCACAAATCATGACAACCCCTCACAGAATAACAGTTTGTTCATGACATCTTCAGTAAATGCCTTGCAGATCAACATCTATGAGCCTGACTGTGGTTACACATTCCTCCGGCCAAGCGGCTGTACGCCAGTTTATTCTGACACAACAGAACCTTATTTCATTTTCTAGAGCAGTTAAACTGCACTAGTTTTACCAGATGTCATTTGTCCCACTTTCCACTTTGCTGGTTTACAAAATCTGTGTATCAGCACCAGGAGAGGAGGGCCTCCACTCACTGCAGCGAGGGGTCGACGCTTAGACACATCAGTTCAGTGATGTTAAAAAACAAGTAAGAAGTAGTTCAGCCTGCTCGTGTTTCTGGTGCCGACATCATCACAACTTTAAAATTTGTAGTTGACTAATTTTGCACCAATAAGCTTCCATACCCCTTCAATGAATATTACAGAGGAGTGCATCATTCTCATATTAAATGCTGTTTAAAGGCATTTGAATGTTGTTATTTATCACCAAGAAATTGCTGAATGTATGGTAACAAAATGAGAAAATAAAAAAATAATAAAGTAAAAAAATATGTAGTCAGTTTAAGCCATTAACTGTGGTTCTGTGATGTTCTAATAAAAATTAAAAATTGAATAAAATCCCAAAAAAAAGGTAGTGCAAGGAGGTAATATTAAGGTTTTAGAATAAGACACCCAACTTTAATGAGCTACATGAACAAAATAACATGCCTATGGGTTTTATATTAAAGCTCCTTTAAAGAAAAATCACTAGAAGTTTCATTAAAATGATCATTCCTCATATACTGTTTGTTTTTATTTCTACCTATAATACAATCAGGTATCTTTAGCAAAGCTGAGCTGCAGTGTGAGGAGTGGTCAGTGGTGCAAAATGCACCAGGAGAGGGCGACGCTTTAAGGCCTAATGCAAAGGTATGCAGAGAAAGTGCTGAAGATGTTTTCCTCTTTACGGGAAGATGATCTGCATCTTCAAAACAACGTGTAAAACTGCAGCAGAAACATCTGAACAGATAAACTTTGGTTTTCTAACCTGATCAGAGATATTGTGAGAATCATCCAGTAAAAAAAAAAAACATCAGAGAGAAAGTACAAATCACTGCAAATCAGCAGAGAAATCTCCCCGCGACGCTGGTTATCGGAACAAAGAACAACAATGAAACCTTATCCGTCAAGGTTTTGAGCTTCACTTTGTTTGGTTTATGGTCTATTCTGAGTGTGTGTGGTGTAACAGGAACCCTCTGTGGCCGTCGAAGTATCTATAGATCGGCGGGGCGGGTTGCAGTCAGACTAAACTGTAAACAAGTCCCATCCAGAGACCACGGCTGACCCGGCACCGCACATCCCAAACCGTCTGATTCATCCTCTTCAAAAGGCCGAGAGCAAACTCCTCAACAGCTGCATGTTGAATCCCCAATAAATCCACCACGACCAAAAGCTTTGAATCTCGCTAAGGAAGCGAGGATGCAGGTGGCTGGAGTGGAGTTTATTGCAACACATACTTTCCACACGACCAAAACAACAAGAAGGACCCCAGCGTGCACACAGACACACACAAACGCACACACACACACACACACACACACACGCACACACACACACGCACACACACTCGCTCCTCCTTTCTCCTTCACTTCTCTTGATTTCAAAGGCGATTTGCAGGGAGGGAGAAAGCAACTCGGAAGCGACAGCCTTTTGTCCAAGAGTACATCTGCATGAGGGAGAGCGCACGTTTTGTTTACGGGACAACACAGTGTTGCCATTAAAAGGCTTTCATCAAAACTGTTTGCTGGAGTCGGCCCTGAGCGACACCCCTCGTCCACGGCTCGGTTCCCACTGAAAGCAGGAGCAACAGGAGGAGGAAGAAAGGAGCAGGGAAGTGTGGGAATGTTTCGACATCGTCGCCACGGCGGGCTGCTCCTAAACATGGCTTTAAATTAGGGGAAAAGAAAACACAGGCTAAAAAAAGGCAGTCGCCTAACTATACTCCTGCCTGCTAATTTGTCACCACTTGAAAAACGAGGGAAAAAATAGCAACAGTTTTAAATCACACTGCTTTAAAGTTAGGGCATGCCAGCCAGTGTGTATGGTAGAATACTTAAACACAAGGGAGATGTAGGTCAACTCCGTCAAAGTTACACATACATATAAACCATTGTGGGTGGAATCTATGGAGCTCTGGCTGCGTTCATATTAGAGAGAAGCAGAAATGGAGAACACTGAGTGTCTGGTTCTGGCTGGCTGGCTGGGATCGGACCAGTGACAGCTGGGGCTTGAAAGCCTTACATCCAAAGCCAGGGCTCATTGCCACTTGCTACATAGCAGCACTGAGCTAAGCCCACCCCCTCCTGTCCAAGCCCTCACTCTGAAAGATCACTGTCCTGAACAAAACATTAAGCTCCTGCCAAATAATTCCCTCTAAAACCATCTTCTCTTTAAAGTCCAAATCCAAGAGCGGAAGGGGTACTGGAGAGAAGACAAGACGGCAAGATGGTTTATCTGTCTGCTGCCATGTCTGAGGGAGGAAGGGGTCACGGAGAGGGGAGTTTCTCAGAGCGTTCAACTGAGAAAAATGCATGACGCACTCAGCGCCACGTCTGTGTGTCAAAGTGTGTGTGATCCGTACCTTATCGTGAAGCGCCTTGCAGCGGGGAACCCTGTGCTCCAGCTTGACAATGGTGATGAAGTCGCTTTCTTGTCGTTCATCCTCACTTGTGTTGCACAGAGACAGAGGGTGATACTGCAAGAACACAAGGAAAAACAAAAACATGATATTTATAACTTGTAAAAATCTGAAGTTTGAAAACAACAGCTTTATTTCTTGCCCGCTGCAGTATAGGTGTGCAGAAGTGCAAGAAGCATTAACGTAAAGGACACAAACAGCCCGACACTGCTGGAGAGATGACGGTTTTCCACCTCATCGCACTGATGTATGACTCTGTGGTTCTCTGAAACTAAGAAGTGACTGGAAAAAATGAACAACTTGTATCTTAAATATACAGATTTTTATTTTTTTTTTACGTTGACAACAATGATGTTCAACTTCTATACAAAGCTTTCTCTAAAAACAATCACTAAGTCAGCTGATGTCACTAATGGAACCTAAAGTCCAAACAGAACGAGAACAGAATAAAAAATGCAACAGGTATTTTTAAACAAAAGACAAAGAACAACTTAAAGGGGATATTCACTCTGCTCTGAGTAGCTTTAAATAACCTTATTTGTGCTTATGCTTAATCCATATGCCTCAATTTATCCTTTGTTTTAAAGTTGTTTTGGCTTCTAATGGCCCGCTTTAATCTGATTGGTCAACATCTGGAAGCCTGTCGAGGGTCAGCACCCAGTGCTTGTGAGCTGCTCTGCCTGTGCTATGCTGTGGCTGTAGCAGATGACTGCAGGTGAAAGTAGGAGGAAAAATTAGACAATAGGTGTTTGGAGTCATCTTAAGTCAAAGAGTTTTGGCTTACACTGACATTTATTAGAAATTATTTGAAACTTTTACTAGGAAAATCCAACTGAAAATAAGGAAAAGCATTGCACATCCCAATAAAACCAGTTGTGGAATATCACTTCAAAAGCCTTAGATTGGCAAAGGATTATGGAATAAATAAAACTTATTTCAGTGTCGTTTGGTGGGAATTTGCCCATCTTTTCTTCACTATTGCCAGGAAATAAATTTGAATTATTTAACAAGTTTATTAGCTTTAAGATTAGGAGGAAAAACCTTTTAAACATTGTTTTGAAGAATGAATCTATTTGTCTTCTAAGAGGGCAGGTGGGTGAAAGAAAAGCTACAAATGCAAATCCTACAGCACATCCCATAAAGTTTTCACTATGTACCAAAAACACAACACATCCTCTATCGCATATGACCTTGAAAACATCAAAAATATAATCAAAACTAAGACCCAGATAAAGAATTGTTCAAGACTACCCATTAAGGCAGTCTAGACGGAGATGCTAAAGCTGCTTTCACACTTTCAGAGAACAACGGTTGCACTTGACGGAAGCCTTTATGTCTAAAATGAAGGCGTTTCCTCTGAACCATACCCAGCTGATATCAAGAGGAAAAACTTTGGCACCCTAAGAAATCAATTACATGGAATGGTGATGTTCACTCCCACTCAAAGCCTTGAGGACTGAAAGAATGAGAGATAGTCTTTGGTAGGAACATTTGATCCCCTCTGAAAGGGAGGAAATTCATAGCTGCTGAAAGGCTGCATTTAAGAGCTCAAGGGATAGCAGCAGTGTTTGCAAGCCACAGACAAGCTGTCACGGGTACGAGGAGTTGCACGGCAGTCAGAGAGGCAGCCATCCAGTCCCGAAACACCTCCGTGCATCTCTGATTTGCCCACAAGACATGAATGAGGACACCCCTCAATGTAGCGCTGTCAGATCGGGCCTCGTTAAAGCTCGCAGATCACCCTGCAGCACCCAGTCCCCGTGCTCACCCACACCCCAGTGGAGCGCTTCCACCCTGCCCTGCCTCGCCTTGCCTTGCCCTGCCCTTCCCAGCCCGGTTATGGGCCCGTCCCGGCCTGGTTCTGCCCTGGTGGGCCTCTTCATGTGGCTGTGGGCTGAGGTCATGGGGCTCCCCCTCATCTCACCCAGCGGAAATCCCTAAATTAAAAAGACCCAAGGGTGACATCAACAGCTGGCACCCCCAGGCAAGGAATTGACGTAATGTTCTGCAAAGGGCTGGTGCATGTCTGTCAGACGGAGCGAGGGAGCGGAGACAAGAAAGACGGGGGACTGGGGGAACCGGGGTGGGACGGGGAGATAAAAGACAACGGCAGAAATAAGAGAAGGGAAACACCTAGGTCATAACGATGGATTAATATGATATCCACCATTAGTGGTTCTACAGGAAACAGCAGCACGAATGCACAGAGCCGGCTCATAAACACCAGATGAGGAACACGTTAGTGACCGATGATTCCTAACCAGGTGCACGTGTATACCAGAGGGTTGCTTCTGCACTGTCCATGATTGTAGGGGGGCAGGTGTCGTGCTAATCCTCAGCAAATATGCAGCCACAATAGCCAGTAAGCCAGCAGTTATGGGGGCTCATCGGGTTCAGACAGTTTGCTTAAAGTAATGAATAAATAGTTGAAATAATTGGGTGAAGTCTTAAATAAACAGTTTAAATAGTGAGCCGAACGTAATGGTTGAACAGTTCAAACAATGAGCTCAAAGTAATAAATGAATAACTCCAAAATTGCAGTAGATTAATAAATAGTTTTAATAGTAAATAGCTACACATAGGGGTTAAATGATTTACATTTTTCGATTAAAGTAATTTTCAAACGGTTAAAAGGGGAAACTAAAGTAGTAATATTTTGTTCATGTTGCTCAAGTCACGTTGAAACGGTTTAAATAAGAGCTAAAAGTAAAAAGAAGCTTCAAGAAACCTGCGATTGTGAAGGAATCAACCTTTCAAAAAAAATCCCCACTAGAACAGGACAGGTGTGTCTGAGCTCACACACAGGGTGAAACAGAAACGGCCGAGGATTCGGCCCTGAATAAGGTTTTCAGACACTTGCATGGTGCCTTCATGGCCGCCCCTGTTCAGGAGGGAAGACAGCAGGCAGCAGGACAGCATGAAGCCGCGGCCTGGCCTGCACGCCGAGCTGCCAGCTGCCTCCACCAGGCTGCATTTACTAGGCTCAAATTAAAGGCCTACAGTTGAACTTGGCCCTTAACGAAGAAAAAAGAAAGAAAATAAAATAAAAAAAATCCTTTAATGACACTACTTCACTGATGCCATGACCTCTGCTCTTTTTTGCTTGAGATTTGTGGGAAATGTTGAGAAAGAGCTACGTTCAGGAAGCGAACCGAATTTCGCTGTGAAAAATAACATCCTTCGCTCGAGTCGTTAGGCTTTACACGGTCGTGTTTGGATCTCGCTGTGATATTTAAACATGTCGATGCACGGGGCTGTACAATAATACCTAATAAAGCAGATAATAATCCTAAAGCTGAGCCAAACAGGCTCAGAAGGAGTGGCTGCTTTTACTTTCCTCTGGCTTTCCGAGGCTCTGAGGGCAACCACCTCCATGGTCACGGCGTCTATGTTTTGCATCGACGTCGAGACTAAGCATTATCTTCTATTTTAGATATGCCCACACCACTTACAATCAGATGGCGGTGCGAACACTCTCCATGTGCCACCAATGGTGCCATCTACTACTTAGAAACACGCTGGACTATAAACAGCAACCAGGACAGACTGAAACGTCTTCATTTGGTTTTTGTACGGCCCTGAGAAAAAGGGGCCTGGGAAACCAAATCACTGAGTCTCCATTTCACAGGGACTAGAAACCACAGGGCACGCAAACAGTTCCCCACAGACTGTTAACAATGCTCACTCCTCCATTCCGCCTCCTCCTCCTCATCTGTCTAGATCTGTTGCTAAACTGACGGGGACATGTCCCTCGGTTCCTTTGTAGCCACGATTAAAGGCATTCCTTTCCAGCTCAATCAAAGACTACCCCAAAAATATTCCCAGGCAAGAATCTAACAGCCTCAAAAACAAATACATGGACAGAAAAAAGGGGGAAAATAAATAGTAGCTGCGGTGAGAAGTCAATAATATTTTTTTTTCCCCTTACTTAGCCCTGCGGATCTTCTTTTTTCATCTGCCAATAATCAGCAAGAGAGCTTTCCAGTTCATCTGCTGCCAGCAGGGAACCAGGCCCAGGCAGTTATGTCAGTGTGTGTTAAAGGGGGGAAAGCAAAAGGAGCTTGCACCTCTCATCAAGCTCTACCACTCAATTACCAGCCTGCTCAGGTCACAGGGCTTCTGAGCAACTATCGGCCTAAAAAAAAAAAAAAAAAAGCAGAATGGAGTCGAAGGAGATGCGAGGAGTACATGACTGCTGATCGCTCTATCGTAAGAGTGAGGAAGGCAAAAAGGCTTCTTCAATGGATCCCTGCCTTGAGGCCGGAAAGCCTGCCAGGTCTGCGCATATCAGGGAAGGATTCAGTCAACCCTGCCACATGCAAACCTGCACAAACACACACACACTCACACACATCAACGCACAAACTATCTGTGTCCTGGGTTTTGACCCACTTCTGCAGCCGGTGACTCAGCCTCTTACATCTTGGCTCTACGTCGAATTAAATCTCTTTGTCTCTCTTGAAACATTAAAGACGCACCTGTTCAGCGCACACACACACACACACACACAGTAATAATCTTCAATGACAGCTGGCGAGGTGATAAAACACATCTCTGGTTTGACTCTCACACACACACACAGGTTTGTAACACATCAGAAACAACAGAATCCGTTTCCTCCGAGTTCCAGATCCAGATTCCTCTGAGTGTCTGAATCAAAGCTTTCTCTCACTCTACTTGGCAGAAGATTCTACAATGAGGGCAAATGTTTGTTTTAAGCCCAGAGACGGCGGCTGCCAAAAGAAGCATCAAGACCGCATGTGATAGCGGAAAGAGATCTGGCTGCCTGGGTCGCTGTGGATCCCCCGCCACCATCCGACCCATGCGTTTACTTTTTAGGAGCCTGAGGTGACGGGCTGAGTTGAGACACTGACCCTTTGCTTCCTGGAAACACATCAGGTAACAAGTCTGCTTAAGCGTGTGAGGGTTTGTGCATCGGGGGGTGGGTTAATGAGCGAGAGCGCAGCTATGCATCGTTGCTAGAGGCACCTGAGCAAGTGCTCGCATGTGAACGCACGAGCGCGTTCCCGCCGCCGATCCGCTTGTGCAGAAAGTCC